AAGTGAAAGAAATCAGAAAATTGGCTCGTAACTTTTTGGGTTATCTGCGTGTAAACGCAAAACTGTCGCTAATATGGCAATTTCGATCACATTGGACCTCAGCTTACCTTGAAGATAATGACCTAGGTTCATGAAACTCACACACAACAGAGTTCCCCATGGCGTCTTCCTACCCTCCAAATGTCGTCTTTCTAGCTTCAGTGGGTGCTGAGATCTTAGGGTGGAGGCGACATTCCCCCCCCCCCCCCCCTCATTCCACTGGACTTAGTACTCACAACCCTTCACCTACCGCTAAAACCGTGACCTGTACGTTCCATTCTCAAAAGACACATTCGAAAACACCAAGGTAGTGCTCGTACGCATGCTCAATCTGCCGTGCACAGTTGACTTCACGATCGCTGATCAACAGACACATGTGGACTCAGAGACAATGTGGACTACAAACAACGACCCACACGAGGGAGCAGGACATGTCTGCGGAGCGGCATACATCTTTGCATCTTTTGAGCCTTAAATGTTAACATTTTTTTTTTACTGATTTCTTGTAGTTCAGTTATATGTACCCAACTTGCTGGCTGCTGCAATACATTGTTGTTCAGGATCAGTTTTTGTTGTTGTCGTTGTTGTTACGATATTTGGGCGCCGTCTCTTGAGTGTGCCTCCGATTTTCTGACCTACTCCAACTCCGCCTCTGGGAGCTGGTGGGAAATTGCATTGTTAAAGGTTTAAAACACTGCATTCACAATGTGTTGACTGCTCTAAGTGTCGCAATTACGGAGCGTGTGTATCTTGAGGCTTGCAACATGGTATTTAATGTGTGAATGCCATTTTTATCCCAGGTACATTTTGTCACCAGACGCTTACATCTACTTCCCTAAATTAGCTTCGGAGTTCGGACGACACCTAAGCTACGGTTACAGAACAATTTACCGAACTGCGTTTTGCCGAATGCTTATTCGCCGAATGTCAATATGTCGAATGCATTTTGCGGACGTGTCAGAAAGGCGAAGTGCTAAAAGTCGAAATGAAATTTGCGGACATGCCTTTTTGCCGACGTGCAAAAAGTCTTATTACATTTCGACTAATCGACATTTCAGCAAGCTGCCAATTCGGCAAATTTACATTTCAACTAATTGACATTTCGACTAATGGGCAAATCGCATTTCGGCAAATTTACATTTCGGCTAATAAGCATTTCGGCAAATTGGCATTTCGGAAGAAAAGGCATGTCGAGAAATGGCATTTTGACATTTTGACACGTCGGCAAAAAGCACATCGGCAAAATGACGTTCGGCAAAATGACATTCGGCAAATCGCCTTTCGGGAATTTGTCCGGACACCTGCGCTACTATGGCAACCAGTAGCGGCGGAACACCTTCAATTAAGGGGGGGGGGCACTGCTGACTTTTGGTCCCATTTTTCAATGCAACGCCCATATGGCTAATGTTAGAATGCCAAAATCAAAGGGTCTTCATTGTCTTCCGAAATGGTGGCACGGTGCCTCGGTGCCCTCCCCGTTCCGCCGCCTATGCTGGCAACAAATTATATGGTTTATAATTATTGAACCAGTTTGGGGTAAAATATCATTAAACCAGTAAATAAATTTAAATAGTTATTCTTTGAGTTGCATTCAACATGTTCCTCCTTAGAGCACTTCATTATGTTCATTTCATTTTCTCATTTGTTGAATGCACTCTAGTCTTTCTAGATGCGAGCGTGCTGCTCCGGCCCAAATCACACTTCCGTACTCTAGGACCGATCGGACATTAGCACAATACGCTGCGATAACTCCTATTACAACAGCCGCATCGTACGCCCTGCAGACTCCTTATAAGGAGAGCTGACGCCCGATTACAACTGAATCAATGTAATCGGAAAAGTTCAGTTTGCCGTCAATGATGACGCCTAGGTCTTTCACGCTAGTGACAAAAGAGAGCACGGTTCCGCCAATGCTGAAGCGGACCGGAAGTAGTTTTGCTTTCAGTGACACACGTAGGGGAGAGTGGGGCAAAGCGGCCACCCGGGGCAAAGCGGCCACCCATCGTTTTAGCCCTTCATAGCTGGCGTCAGTTCCAATTTATGGTTTCCAATTATACTTCTCTTCACGGTCGTTCGAATGAGCCAGACCGGAGTTTCAGGCCCATCACCATTGTTCTGTGAAACACAGAAAAGCCTTTCTTGCCAGGTTACCAACTATGTTTACAATTTTTAAATGTTATGTTATTCCATAACCGTTTGGAATTTTTATAAGAGCTCTGGTCCATGCATTGCATGGTTATCGTATATGTATTCTACCAATTTTAATGTTTTTTACTCCACTAATAGCTAAGCTGGAATATTTTTATCTCGGACGGTATGCGCGGGGCAAAGTGGCCGGGGCAAAGTGGCCACCCTCCAATTTGCCATAAGTTGTTTCCATCTGGATAAACAACATTATTTATATTCAAATGTGTCCTCATGCATTCATCTTGGGCACTTTTCAGTTGCATGAGTTACCAAATAATGCAATTAAATGTTTTTCATGAAAATCCTTTCTTTCTTTACCTACAGGTGGAAGATGATAAAGTTAACATCCATCCTCGCTTAAACCTTGTCACCATTAAATACCCTAGTCGTACATGAGGCAAATATTTTGTTCTTCATATCGGGACTTGAGAAGACGCCGGTGGCCGCTTTGCCCCAGGGTATGGGGCAAAATGGCCAATATGCATAGGTTTAAAGTTTTGTCAATATCTTCCATATGCGAACGCCTTTGGAAATAAAACGCAGTTGAAATAAAAGGCAACTTAATAGGGATCACATTGGTATAGAAAGGATCTTTCCAAGTTTAAAAATCAAGCGTTGGCAGCGTGAGAAGCGTTAGGGTGGCCGCTTTGCCCCACTCTCCCCTAAGTGAGAGCATTTGGCCGGGTTTAGAGTGATGTGCCAAGCCTGGGACCAGGGGCCCGGGAACGATTTTCCAGTTGGGGGGGGGGGGGGCGAGCCTAAAATGCCTGACATGATGCATTGAAACAGTGACGTAGCTAGGGGTCTAAGGGGACACGTACCCCCCCCCCCCCCAATCGGGATAAAAGGGATCCTCGGGACCGAGGGGCCCTGCGGCGCCATTTGACCGCTGAGGGTTAACGATGGCCATATTTCTACTCAGAAGGGCCCCATGGGGCTCGTTAGAGCACCTCATGGGCCCTAAATAGCCAAACTAAGATCTCCATGAGGGACCCACGCCGGCTTCTGAGGGCCTCTTGCGGCCTTTAAGGGCACCTCGATTGTCTCCAAAGGCCCGTTACTGGCCTCTGAGAGGTCTTACCGGCCTATGAGGGGCCAGTTCTAGGGGCATTTCCCGCCTGTGATGGTCCCACACTTATTTTTCTGAGGGCCCCATAACGGCAACTATGGGGCCCTCGTCGGCGCCTATGAGGGCCCACACCGGTGTCTCTGAGGGTTACACCCCCAACTCTGAGTGCCTACACCAGTACCTATTAAAGCCCTATATCGGCGGTTCTGAGGACCCAACCAACACCTGCGCATCTGAAGGTCACCCACTGGTGACTTTTGAGGGCCCCACACCGGTGACTCTGAGGGCCCCACCGGCGTCTGACAGTACCATGCCGGTCTCTAAGGACCCGACAGGACTTCTTCTGCCGGCCTAACGACCCCTTGCCGGCCACTGAGATCCCCTGCCGGCTTGTAGAGAGTTCGCGTCAGCAGCTCTAAAGGCCCAACACCCGTCTGTAACGGCTCCACACCAGCGTCTATGAGGGCCCAAAGCTACGCCTGTAAGGACCCTCATCGGCGCCTCTGAGAGAATCACACTAGCACCTCTGAGCGCCCACACCGGCACCTGCATGGGGGCCCCACACCGGTGCCTCTAAAGGTCCCTTACCGACGGCTCTGAGGGCTACGCCGGTGATTCTGAGGGTGCTACCGATAACCGAAGGCACCACACAAGCCCTTAGTGTCACTGAGCTTTAATCCCATACCGGCCCTCCGAGGGCGCCACGTCAGTGCACTCATTGCCCCACACCCCTCCATCACACCCGGAGCGGGTAAACTGTGTTATACCTATAGCAACGATTTTACTGCACCGTTGTACGTTATGTATTTCTCAAAGTTGACTCAAGCTGGTGCAGTATAAAATCTGGCCTGCCAAACTTAGGCCAAGGTCAGGCCCAAATCAAAGCGGGATGACAATAGCAGATGTTGTCAAATCGATACTGTATCAGCAGAAACCATTCAGATGGCAAGGAAAATGTCGTGTGTTGATGTGTAGATGTATAAAGGAAAAAAGAAGGAAAGAAGTCCGGAAAAGGGAGGAAATATCTTTTCTCGCTGCCTCAATGTTGAGGGGGTGCCGCCCCCTCGGCTCCCAAGTTGGGGGCAAGCGCCCCCGCTGCCCCCCCCCCCCCTGTTCCCGGGTCTATGCCTGGGACCAAGAATGTAGCCGGAACATTTTGTTACTATATAACATATTTGAGGGGGGGGGGCTGATTTGCCCCCACCGGCCAGTTTTTCTTCTCTGTGCGAAAAATGGCATGAGCTGACGGCATTGAAATTGTCGACGTTTTCGTTGTCAGTCATTGAGGGTATTGGGTCAAAATGATGAGTTTGTATAGTGTTCAGAGGCGTCTCCACGGTCAGTTTCTGGGACACATGTTTTCGGCAGACCTCATCAGTCATCCCCGCCGTCCACGGTGTCTCCACCACCCTCGGCTCCACCGGCCACGGTGTCTCCACCACCCTCGGCTCCACCGCGGCCACGGTGTCTCCACCAACCTCGGCTCCACCGTCCACGGTGTCTCCACGACCCTCGGCTCCACGGCGGTTAAGCATTGTGATATCCCACACAGGCCACACACCAGATCATAGACATTACGCCCTTGTCCTTGTCGCCAGATTGATCGTGTTAAAAGATCCAACATAAAGTTTCAACTTAATGTCTTGTATAACCAGGGCTCCTGTGATCTGCAATTCGTTGCAAGATCAATTGGGTTGTGATCATTGATGTCACTCACATGTCTATGCACTTGTTTGCTGATCGCTAACGTTTGTAGCGTCAATCAATATATGCAAATGTGTTCTCCAGGTTTTGGTGGCACTCTTCAGTGTCCCCACTGCGACTTCAGCTGTTTGGGACAACATTGTCTGGACAGACACTTGAAGAGACGACACGGCCAAAGCGTGAACGGCAGATACAAGTGCAAGTGGTGTTCTTACGTCACCGACCACTCCGGCAGCATGACGCGGCACCGAAGGACTCACGCGAAAGAACGGCCGTACCGCTGTGAAGTGTGCGGCAAAACGTTTGCTCAACAAGTCGGTCTGACCGCTCACCGTCGTGTGCACACCGGTCAGAGTCCGTGCAAGTGTGATATCTGTGGGAAGGCGTTCACACGTTCTGGTGATCTGGCGATGCACAGACGTGTCCACGCTGGCGAAAAGGTCCGGCAGTGTGAGCAGTCTGGTGCCGCGTGTTTAGCTACAACTAACGGCAAAGAACACAAGACACACGGTGTCCGTGTGAAGCCGCATCAGTGTCATGAATGTCGAGCCAGATTTGTTACACGCGCAGATCTCACTGTACACATACGAACCCATACCGGGGAGAAGCCGTACAGCTGCTCCATTTGCCCGGCACGGTTCGCTGAGCGGTCACATCTCGTCAGACACGTGCAGACCCTTACAAAGGAGAAGTCGTTTGGCTGCTCCATTTGCCAGGCAAGATTCGCTTATCAGTCAACGCTCACCATACACATGCGGACCCACACAGGGGAGAAGCCTTTTGACTGCTCCATTTGCAAGGCACGGTTCGCTCTTCGTTCAACTCTCATCAGTCACATGCGAACCCATACAGGGGAGAAGCCTTTTGACTGCTCCATTTGCAAGGCACGGTTCGCTCAGCGGCATATCCTCACCGAACACATGCGGACCCACACAGGGGAGAAGCCTTTTGGCTGCTCCATTTGTCCGGCACGTTTTGCTCAGCGATCGGCTCTCAGCATCCACATGAGGACCCACACAGGAGAGAAGCCGTACAGCTGCTCCATTTGCCCGGCACGGTTCGCTGAGCGGTCACATCTCGTCAGACACATGCGGACCCACACAGGGGAGAAGCCGTATGGCTGCCCCGTTTGCCCGGCACGGTTTGCTCTTCGGTCAAGCGTCACCGAGCACATGCGGACCCACTCAGGAGAGAAACCGTTTGGCTGCTCTATTTGCCCGGCACGGTTCGCCCAGCGTTCAACCCTCACCAGGCACATGCGGACCCACACAGGGGAGAAGCCTTTTGGCTGCTCCATTTGCCAGGCACGATTTGCTCATCGGTCAGCCCTCATCAATCACATGCGTATCCATACAGGGGAGAAGCCGTATGGCTGCTCTATTTGCCCAGCCCGGTTCACTAATCGGTCAAGCCTCACTGCACACATGCGTACGCACGCACGCGGGGAGCGCCCGCACAGCAGTCCCTCATCTACCCGGCGCGTTTTTTCTGTTGGGTCAGATGTCACCAAACAAATGACACCACACAGAATAGCGACCCTACTGCTGCTCCGTCAAACAGACGCGGTTTGCTTTTCGGTAAGGTCTCAAGGGAAACATACGAACCCACACATGAGAGCGGCCGTAGGGCTGCTCCATCTGCACTGTACGATTTTCGGTTTCATCACAACTCAAAAGCCAGCTGCTGATTCACACGGGGAAACGACCTAATGGTCGTGTATACTAAATGAAAATCATGCTTAACCCGCGTCCCGCTGGCGGTCCTGTATTTCCAGGCTCTGATGGGGGCCCTATAACTCGGCCTCTGGGCCATGTATCGGCACGCCGTAGGCGGTGTTCCAAAGAGCGTCCAAATAATGAGAAAAATACTCTTGTCACTTTTTATGTCAGATAAAAGGTAAGGTCGCTAAAGGTCAACAAAGGTGAAATTTGTCACTTTCTAGGTCAAACTTCGATAATTTTCGACAAATGGGCAGTGTGAGCAGTCTGGAACCGCGTGTTCAGCTACATCTAACGACAAAGAACACAGGGCACCTCGTATTCTTGTGAAGCCCCACCACTTTCCTGAGTGTTTGGCATGTTTTTTTTAGATGTGCATGATGTACGGCTCTCCAATGAAACAGTGGTTGGTCTTGCTTTTTAGGTTATATCTGGTCTTATATGAAATCCAAAGGCGTAAGCATTAACCCGATTCGTATGTATGCATATTTGTCACGAACTGTGAGATTGCATCTTTGTATGCCGAATACTTTCCGAGATATTAAACAAAAACCTCATTTTTTGGCGTTTGGGGTATTCTGGCCGCAGTCTTCCTGGGACCGCCTATGAGAGCAGTGGAGCCATCGAACGAGAGGGACGCGGAAACACAGAATCATGAATGAATCGAGCGTGTAGTAAACGGAGCATGGAAGGGAGACTCAGCAGAGGCTATCCGGGTGGCCGGCGCGCGCCGCGCCCTCAGGCACCGGCTGACCCTCCGGACCGCGTGGGGTCAGAGGTCGCGCTCGGGAAGTCTCGGCTCTGGGTTTTAGCGCTGTGAAACAGGAAGGCGGGGGAGGATAACGCCAGCCCGACTGACCTATAGCTTGGCTGATTTGTGTGGAGTGGAGGGGAACACAGAACTGGATTGTTGCTTGTGCGTATGACGGAACGGATGTATTGTCTGCATAACCTGTGATATAATATTCGTAGGTAATTATTCCAGGACTTAAAAAAGGGAATTGACGCTGGCCCGAGAGAGCGGACGGGTACCGTCCTACCCCCCTCCCCCCCCCGTATGGCCTTTGTCTAGATTTCTTTGAACGTGAGGCCGATGGAAAGCTTAAGGTTGACACTCCCGACCTTGGTTTCAGCTTATTTGGGTTGGTATTGGGTGGTTCCTTCGGCACAAAGATGTTTTCATGTCAGGCCAGGTCACTGACCGACATAAATTAGACTTTGCACGGTCTTAACCCGCGCCGGGCCGGTGCTCCGCGACTTACGCGCCGGGCCGGGGGGAGGGTCTGAACACCCCCCCCCCGTCTAACTCGGCTCCTGGCCGACACGTGGTAAGCGACATTCGAAAGAGCGTCAAAAATGATGATGGAAACACTTCGCTCATTTTTTGGTCAGGTCAAAGGTCAGGTCGCCAGAGGTCAACAAAGGTCAAATGTAGTCCATTTCAACAATCTTGGAAAATGCCAACGCTAACTCGGAAACCGATAGAGCTACAGCGCCACGGAAAAGCGCATTCGATAGCCCTTTTACATACCTTTCTGAATATTGCTCTCAGATTTGACCTCAGGTCAAGGTTTAGCCTCCAGAGGGCAAAAACTAAAATAGCAGTTTTCACGAAAACTGTTTTAACTTTTGACTCAATAGTGCCACGACATTACTTTTGGCAGCGTCGTGTTCCTCTCGTCGAGACGCGTCGGAGGAGCTATTTGTTGACCTTGAAAGGTCATTTTGAAAATTTGACCTCTGGTCAAGGTCATGACCTGACCGAAAAGGGTCATGTTGCATATCAGTCGATCCGTATCGTCGAGCTGAATACATTTAACGTGTTTCCATTGCTCTAGCACGTCTTTATCAAAAGTTATAGCAAAAAAAAACTGCTGGTGACCGTTCATGACCTGAGATGACCTCAGGGTTACACAGAGGGGTCGCAGGTGCATTTTTCCGATTCAGTGTGTCATTTTTACCTATGAACCGATGTTTGAGTGGGTTTTGAACAACATTCGTCCAAAATAGACACATTTCAGTTTTCTCCCTTTGACTTATAATGGAGAGGTCGTAAAATTGGCCTGACCTTAGGTCACCGACATCAAAATTCCGAGATATTTTAAATACTGTTACTCTTATCAATCGCCGAAAGTTTCTAGGTGATTGTACAGTCGGTGCACCTATGACGAGGATTGCAACTTTTCTGAGGTGAGGTCACTTGCCGTGAGGTGAGGTCACCTATGAACCGATGTTTGAGTGGGTTTTGAACAACATTCGTCCAAAATAGACACATTTCAGTTTTCTCCCTTTGACTTATAATGGAGAGGTCGTAAAATTGGCCTGACCTTAGGTCACCGACATCAAAATTCCGAGATATTTTAAATACTGTTACTCTTATCAATCGCCGAAAGTTTCTAGGTGATTGTACAGTCGGTGCACCTATGACGAGGATTGCAACTTTTCTGAGGTGAGGTCACTTGCCGTGACCTGGTGACCTGACCTTGAGAGCCCTGGGTCTGAAATTTTCACAGCCTGTGTAGAAAAGATGCATGAACACTGAACAGGTGTGCCAAAAACCTAAGGGGGTGTTTAAATACCCCCCGGTCCGGCGCGGTTTGAAATGTTTGAGCTTTACAATGCCTTCAGTACTAGAGGATCATTTACAAGGAATTAAAGCTTACGCTTTACAGGATTTAGAACGTACACGTGCGGACACAGGTGAGAAGCGTTTTGGATGCTCCATTTGCACGGCACGGTTCGTTCAACGGTCGGCCCGAATAGCTCATATGCGAATCCACACAGGAGAGTGGCCGCAACGGCTGCTCCAACTGCCCCGCACGATTTTCTGTTTCATCACATCTTAACCCTCGCATGTGTAGGGGGGGGGGGGTCGGATGGACCCCCCCCCATGGTTTTTCGCGAATAACTCAAGTAAAAAGCGGCCGATCGCGACGAAACTTTCAGTACCCTCGCATTGATCAATTTTACACCTACCCTGAAAATTTCATGACCCTGACCCAAATGACCTTTGACCTGTGACCTCTTTTCCGAGACCATGTTTGGCCGGAATCGCGATTTCACGTATGTCGGCTCGCACTAGCCGCGTGTTTGCAAGCTTTTCGTGGTTTCAAACGTTCAAACATGTGATTTGATGTTACTCCCGTGTGTGTCAAGGTCACCTGAAGGTCAGGTCAGGTCATTGACCTTTGGTGACCTCGGGTGACCTCGGTTCACTTTTTCGAGTTTTACATGTTTCTAAGCTAGTTTTTGGAGCTGAATTCGAATTTAGCAACCATTTGAACATTTACGAAGTAGTTTTGGTGACTTCGTAACATGTTACGAAGCTGTCAGAGGCGGTTGACACGTACTACGAATACCCGTCACGACGCCTACTGGTTGACCTGACCTGACCTGACCCGACCTGGTCTAAATGCTTCAAGACATCATCTGTGATCAAAACTAACACGATATTCGTGATCAGCACCCCGAAAAACCCCTTAGAAGCCACACTTTACGACTTTCTAACAGGTCCCGATTTTCCCGACTTTGGGTCATTGACCTGACCTGGAAGGTCAACCAATGACCTAGGACCTTAAAATTGGGTATCATCGGCTTTCCCCTACACGCCGTCTGAGTGACATTGAACGTGGGGTAGATCTGGGGGTACCTTACAGGTTGATCTCTATTATGGTGTGCCCCCTCCCCCCCCCCCAACTGAGAGTAGTTCCCGCGCCCCTGTCAGGGCTTGGCCAAAATCACGCCGGAGGCGAACAAAATACACGGGAATCACAAAAATCACGTCGGGACAATCACGGCCCTCTGACCCAGGGTCAGTGGCGTATCCAGGGGGGAGGCCAAGAGGCCATGGCCTCCCCCTTTGGGATCAGACACGCAAGTGGGCCCTTTGCACTGTAAACCAAATTGACAAGTCTTGTGTAATATAACCAATCATCTCTTGGTATGTTTACCAACTGATAATTTTTAAACAAGCCGTTGTCTGGTGCATTGCTTGTCAGGTGACAACTACGAGTCAATAGTTACTATGCACACCAACTTCTCAGTATCCAGACCAACTCTACATTTGTTTCAACGTTTGTTTCTTAACCAGTTTTGGAAACTTGTTGCCGCATGGTTATTTAACCGGCGCCTAACTTGTACTAGTCAGCTGGTCAGCAAACACATGGTCAGCTGCGCCTATGACGTCAGACTTGGCGGACCAATCAGCGGTCGCCGCCAGCCGTTATCGGGCCCCGGCGCGGCGGTTTCGAACCAGCAGTTGTCGCGCGGCCGCCGTGCAGCCTGGAGCAGCGACGAGGGCTGTTCCAGCATTTGTGCAGTAAAAAGTGAAATCTGTGAACTGTGGTGTTCGTGCTGTGGGTGAGGCCCCCTCTGGCCTGCGGGATGCACTAATCGTGCCTATACCCGCGTTCGAGACGCCTCCCTTCCCCTGCGCGCGCAATGTAAGTGGGCCAGACGCATGCACATGTGAGCAGATGTTTTGCGGTCGGTGTTTTTTATATACGAGTATAAATACATTTATTTGCCTTTAATTCAACTCTTTGTGTTTTTAACTTAACTGATGGACATATATGAACTGTAAAAGCTAATCTGGTTGGCGATCATGATTTATTCGAATTATCTGCGTGATCGTGCAACTGCCATGATTGTTATGGTCAATGTTCAGGAAATATTCGTCATACGGGCATGTTATACTTCTGGCTTGATGCGGTGCACAAAACCATGTTCTTCCACATACGCAGCAGTTCTTGCTTCAAAGACTTATATGCTGACGGTGCACGATAGGTATACCCACTGGGTATACCTACCTCATGCATTTACCACATCCATTCGAAAATATGCAGTCGGAATTGTCTCCAGTCAATAGTATTAATTACGTGACCGTAATAAATAGTAATGATCCCAGAAACTTCCGAATGGATGTGATGTATGCATTCATTGATTATATAACCCATCAGTAGGTATTTCGTTTCTTGTCAGCGCAAGCCTTTGAGCAATAACTGATGCCAGTCATGGTATTGTGCACCACTTCCAGGCAAAAAATAACCGGTCCGTATAGAAAATATTTCCTGAATCAGTATCGTCGCAATTGAAAACGAACGCGAATCGTAAGTTCTTAATGTTATCAACGCAAACAAAGCGATTGTTGACAAGTTCGAACAGAGCGTTAGTACACTTACTTGTTGACAATTTGTAAGCTAGCAATGCCCAGTCAAAGGCTAGTTCATCAACAAACCAGGGGTTGGTGAACCGACAAGGAAACGAATATGCCTATCCAGAAGTTGGTAGGTCCACAAGGCCCAGACTAGTACTCAACAAGGTGACGCCTATGCGAATTGGAACCAAACTTGTAGACAAACTGTTA